CACTCCAACAAATTATTTTGATGATTCAACAAAAAATTATTTTCAGATCTGTATTTAGCAAAATTTTTAGACCTTTCAACAAAATCGTTCTTTCCGTGCTTTAATTTTTTGCATTAATTTTTTTGCTTTAAATTTATTATCACATTTAATATGTATTATTAAATTTGAATAATAGTTCTTTCACAACAGTTTTAGTCGAATGCTGCTGAGTTACATTTTTAATTTCTCAAGGACTGCAGTTAGTTGTTCTCAATAGAGACAAACTCAAGAGTCTATGATTAATTACTTTCCAAGACGCGCTATGTGCACCAGCAGCATCAAGGGTGTCCTGCAGCCTTTGTGAAATTATCTTTGAGTGATACTTTAGGCGCTCCTTAAGGTCTGCGACACTTGTCAAACGGTTCATTACCTCTCAGTGGAGAATATTACGGGAAAATATTTCATTCCTAAATATCTTTCCATTTTAGTTGAAATTGTAGAATTTAAAAAAGTGACAAATAATAATTGAATAAATACTCTTTATTATTCTTTAGTTATATTTATTGAATTTTTTATTGTTTTTTAGTTATTGTTATTGATCACACAAATGATGGAGAAAATTATATTGGAGAGAACAAAGTGTAAAAATACGTTTTTATTTAACAACTCTGACAGTGAATTTTTCAAATGACATTAACAACTTTAAATAGTTTAAAAACGATTATTATAAATTGTTATTGATTGACAACTCATGTTATTTATACACATATATTATTTGAACTTTCAAGAATTCTTTCTTCTCTATAATTAATGTTAATTAGTTACCGTTTCTTTTTTGTCTCTCTCTCTCTCTTTCTCTTATCTTTCCTTTATATTAATTTTGTTTTATTTATTTAAATTAAAAATATGCAAAGTTCATATCTAGCTGCATAATTATTCGCCTTTCATCTGTGAGTTCTCTTCTCTTCTGTTTGTTCAAACAAACGCTAGTAGATTCGTCTTTTTTGCGCAAGAACAAAAATGTTTTTCTTTGGCATATACACGTCTTGCCATCTATTTTCTTTATATTGTTTAATTTGTATATCCGTATTTTCAAAATTCGCCGATACTGGTTATGCAAGTTTCTCATTGCATTTCTTATCCTAACCATTAACAATAGGAGAAAAAAAGAACGTATATAAAGAAAAAACAGCTGATTATGACCCTTCTGCTGCATCAGCTGCTTTATATTCACATCGGTAACCCGGGTCACAAACTCCTCCTTTTTCTTGTACCGCGTCTTTCAAGAGTACCGCATATCTTCCAAAGTTCAGATAAATGCGTCGATCCCAATACACCGGATAAAAAGAGATGCACCGAAACAAAACGTTTTTGAGAGGAAAGACTTACATACCGGGGATATGTAGTTCTTACCGTGGTGCAACTTGGCCAACATTTTTCTTTCCTTTTCTCCGCCAATGCCAATCGATTTCCTTCGTGCCAATTTCCACGCTTATCCGAGGCTCCGCGCAACATCTTTATTAGCTTCTTTATAATGCCTTACACCTTCCGCCACTTGCGTTAAAAACGTGCCAATATAGAATAAAACCTAAGCACGGTTTTAAAGAACACTGAAATTACGTCTGATAATTTTGTTGCAATTTATACTCTTGCAATTATTTTTGCAATTATTCTTGTATTGTAATTGTGTTGCGATTATTTTTTACATGTATTTCGTAGTCTTATTAACTTCTTTTAGACATTTTTTTAACTTTTATTTTCGCATTACTATTTCTCTCATTGTGACTGACATTTGATATTGCTTCTGCAGGAGTTGGAAATGTAACGGGGATTTCGATGTTAATGTATATTGATGTTAACACATTCTCTTTGAATGTCCCTGCGGTTTACTTGTCACATCTGCTTATACTCACAATCAATGCCGATGGGAAATCATATACATATTACGTCACGGAGTGATTTAGCAGAGATGTATAGTGTTCTTAAGAGAGAGTTGTCTAAAGCATACTTATATAAGAATTTACAAATTCTTCCTCAATTACTTTTAACACATTGATTTTATATGCATATTCCATGCATAAATAACATTTAATTTCATGAAAAATAGGAAGCCAAACTCATTTTCTTTCATAATTTACTTCTTTTACCATAAAATATCATTAAAGGATGGTGCTTTTTATGAAAATTTGGTGTTATTTAAATGACGGAAACAAGAAGTATTGTGCATATAACATAATATTAGAATACGTGTTTTAATTAAATATTATTAACTTTTTGTTCTTTTATTTTGCATTTAATAAAATTATTGTTATTATATGTCATAAAAATAAAAAGCTATAACGTGAAAAACAAGCCAGACTTCTCTCGGTTATCATGTTTTTTGTGGCTTTTAACTGATTCCAAACATCGTTACTGTTTATTTGTTAACGAAGTACGAGCTTTTTTTTAATAGTTATAACAATTATTTAATAACGAAAAGAAAAAACCATAAAGGATAAAGATAGCAAATCCAAATATTGCGCACCAACAATCATTTAGAAAAAATATATTTCTCTCGCAGAAGTGAACACAGTTTTTTTTCCGATATTGTAGCGTAATGTTACGTGAATATATGATATTTTCGACTGATCAATAATTCAGTTATGGTCCAGCTATTGGAGGCGGAGTTTTTTTCACAGTAAATTATACTTTATGCTGAATATAACAAGAGCTATATTTTTGCTTTCCTATAGTAACAATAATACGTAATAATCTTGAAAATACAAATGTGCTGCTATATTCTCTACGGACGAATAGTGAAAATAATGCCAGAAAAGTATTCGCGTCGAGAGAGAGAAATACGCGCTTAAAGAAATCGACCGCGGGGCGGGCGCACCGAAAAGCGAGATGAAAAAGCGGAGATTAAGAAGGGAGCAGGCGGCATCCCTTATCTTGTAACGGTAGCGAGGTATCGCACGAAACGCGGGGGAGCCACATTAAGAGATAAAAGATTCCCGGACTCGTAGAATTTACGACCAATTTCGCCCACCGACGCGCGTTATTCCCGCGTGCGTTAACTCGCGTCTGACAATCGCGTAAAGTACTTTCGGCTGTCGGTCGCACTTTATTGACGCCGCGCGACGGAGAATGGCACTGCAGTGTGTAAAAGCCACGCGCGCCTGCTTACGCCGCGACGAGCGATGACGATAATTAAGGGAATGTAAAACAGTGGTCGAATTGATTTATCAATGACAGTAATTGGAGTGATTATTAGCGGCGAGGAGAACCGTAATTAAAATTAACTGCACTAAGAAAAATGTTTTGATTGTATCAGAACGTAAAAATATATTTTTTCTAAATAATTGTTAGTGCGCAATATTTTGATTTGCTATGTTTATCCTTTGTACTTTTTCTTTTCGTTGTTAAATAATTGTTATAATTATAAAAAAAACTCGTACTTCGTTAACAAGTAAACTGCAATAACGATGTTGGATGGAATCAGTTAAAAACCACAAAAAAACATGACAACCGAGAAAAATCTGTTAGCTTGTTTTTCACGTTGTCGCTTTTTATTTTTATGACAATGTAATTTTATGAAATGCAAAATATGATCTCAAAAAAATATACAATGCATTCTAATTAATCAGAATTCCTTTTATCGTAATTGAATTTCTGCTTATCTCGAACTAGAAATGTCTGATAGATTTAACTATAAAGTATATCTGATTTCTAGCTTTTGTTGAATCTACCAGATTTCCAATTAATGCTACCAGATATTTTTTCCAGAATGTAATCTCTCAGTAATTGACAAAATAGTTTCATCTATTTGTTTAGCAGCCGCATAAAATCATAATTTTCCTTCTTTATTTTCTTGTGTATAAGAGTATGATGTATATAGTTATCATTTCTTTACGTTAGGTACAGAATAATATCGAATGTATCGAAGAGTATGCGAGGATGAGAAGGAGGGGGGCGGGGGAAATAAGTGTTCCGCCACATAATTGGCGATTGCGGTGAATCTTTTATTCTATCATTACCGTTGCGGCCAGGGCAATAAAACTTAAGTTACAACGTTCTAATGTTCCAAAGCTATTTCCGTCGTTTTGTGGCGCGCGCGCGGTTGTTTACCCGTTGCTCGTGTTTATCCTCTTGTATTCCTGGGACTCGCGTACGTCACACAGTACGTGTACATATACGTTTCGTGACTTCATGCATATGCAGATCTGGCCGCATTATGCATTTGTTGCATGTGCAACGCGTCAAATTGCGTCGCGTTTAGTTGCCATGCGGACGCGACTGTAATCTCCGTAGATCTCGCCGAACAAAATGGAGTTTCGACATGTGGAAAAAGTCAACCCCCGATCGAAGAATGACCGTCACGCATTTTCACCGAATGTATTATTTTGCGACGCATTTATCCGCGAAGTTTCAACCGCGAAATGCTTCTGGCATCACGACAATTCGTTGATCCCTTCGTTGAATTGTTGGCGTCAATTTGTGTGTGAAAAAATTTGCCAAATTCTAGATTTAACGGTACGGACAATTTTCGTTTCGCGTTCGTACAGTGCTCAATTGTACCTCGCGTATCGTACATTTGAGAGAAAATATCTTTTTTTTTCGAATCCGTGATAAATACATTTTTAAATTAAGCTTTTAAGTGAGAAATTATACGAATTGCGGAAAATAGAACATTTTATGGACGCATGTTAATAGCAAATTTACAATTATTGTTTCAGGGTCGAGAAAAACCGAACATCTGAACGATGTGAGAGGAATATATGGACGGACACCAAACGGACTGGGCAGATTCGGCGAAATCACGAACACGTGGCGGGACGTGAAGCGGGGTGAGTCAATAAATTACGCTTGATTTACGTAAATTTATTTTTAAAAAATCATACTTGAATCCAAGAAGATTACAAGTCAGTATGATATTTGCGAGATACCAACACATAACACAGCGACATACGGATCAGGAACAATACATTGTCATATTTAAAACTTAATCATTTTTTTTCCGAATTGCTCATATATTACACATAGGTATATTTATTCCGGGAATAATATATTTTTTATACGTAGCTATTTATTGGATTTTATACAATAGTACAAAATTATACAGTACAAAATTATAAACGCAGGTAGTTGTAAGCGTAATAAAAGTTTTCAATATTTGGTGAAAGCGGATTATTCTGACTAGTTTAACAATGCTATTGTATCACTTTATAAATCGTGCGCTAGATTGCCGGGAATATGCGTTCTCAATTCTTGTTTCGACCTAGTTTTCAATAACGTGCGCTGCATTTTTGTTTCTAATGGAAATATTGCATTTTCGATCAGGGAGCGGCCATTGTAACGCGAAAAATTGCAGTGATGAAAATAAATGAGCTCTAATAAATTTTGTGCGACCTAAATCCTCTTGAATATGTGCGACATTGTACATAAGCGAATTCGAATTTCACATCACGTACGTATCACATGGTGAGCAAATGACGGATGCAGAATAAAAAAAAAACGACGATTGTTCATCGAAACTTCAATTTCCAAGTTTTGATAAATTTCGCTTCTTATAAACTTCTCCATCTTCAACTTTCAACAAACAAAAATGTTTTGACAAATATTTCCTTGCTAAAAAGTTGAACAAATTCTATATTTACATCTTTAATCTTCAAAACTTTATATTAAAAAACGATATTTGTTATTAAAATAAGTTTACAGTTATACTTTTTCTTTATAGAAGTATAGTTTTTTCATAAAATATCAAATTATTTAGTAAAAATTTAAGACAATAAGTAGAATAAAATATTTTAATATTGATTTGCTGAAAGAAGTAGATTGGAAATACTTTATGTCTCTTTCTGATAAAATGGCATATTTGTTTTTAACAGTATTGCAGTAGAAATAAGTTTATTCGAAAAGTTCAAATTCTATGGAATTAAATCAAGAATGGAAGCAATCGAGAGAATATTAATGTCATCCCGTGCAGCTCTATTTATAAAAATTTTAAGATGAACGATTTTGTTTACAAAATTAAATTGTTAATATTATTGTTTAGATAAACAAAAACTGCATTTCTTAAATATTACAAAGAAATTTTATCGTTGAACGCGCGCACTAAACGGTATTAATGTTTCCATGAGTATAAGTTAGATCAGGCGGTTTTGGTCCTTTTTATCCTGATACGGCTAGAGCACTGCTCCGATAGCTTGCCGAATTCCCAAAGGACTCTGCCTATAAATATGTATGGTGGCGTCTCCAATTTCTTAAGAAAGAGCTATCGAATGCCAAGTGGAGCACATCGCTTGAAAATGCTAAGCAACCTCCGCAATGTGCCCTAATTATGCCACAGTTATATCGACGAAGTCATTTAATAGAATTCTCTTTTGCAAGTTTATTTGCGAACTCTTTACGCGATTAACATCTCTAATTCAAAGTTATTTTAGCCGATTAAACCTATTTTGCAATTTTATTCCGTCAAATAATGGAGAGAGATAAACGACACTATATGTCTCTCTATTTAAGTTAATTAATATAAAATTATTTTATATTAAGTATTAAAATTATTTACAAGGAAAGACATACAAGTTATCGATATAAATAGATGCATTTTGTAGGTTTTATAGTTCATTACGTATCACACAGCGAGAAATAAAATGTCTGTTTATTACACTTACAATATAAGATTTATTCGATTAAAAATTGAAAGTTGTGTATGTAATGCATTACTCATGGTTTTCTTTCAGCGTTAAGCCTGCTGTGCGTAAAAAAATTCTCCGGCAGCGGGACAATGCTGGAGGCGCCGCCCGGAAGTCGCGAAGACCTCGTAGAGGCGGCAAGAACTCCATGTACACCCACCGGTAGGTGACGTCGACGCTTTATCATAAAGTTCGAAGGGAGTTTCGGTAACTCACGAAATTTATTAGTCCGCGTAAACACGCTCCGTTATGGCTGTGCGAGCTCCGAAATAGATGGCCACGGCTTGACGCTGTTGTACATTGTTGATAGTCGTGATTACAAGTAAAATGGAAGTGAATAAGTCTTAGCGAATTAAGAACTCTGCCGACGCTATTTGTGCATCTCCAAAACAGAGAAAGTATATTATTAAGTTAGTGAATCAATAAATTTAATCAGACATGTCAGGATTGCTTCACGCGATCAACGCAATTTATACTAATTTTAATAATAACAAACGAAGTTATACATATATAAAATGACTTTCTTGTTATCTTCACTAAATTTGAGAATTATGTCGAGTTAGGAAATATAATAGTTTCATACAAGGAAACGCACATATACACACAGTCGCATCAGCATTCAAGCACGAGAAGCCATTTAAGAAACGAGATTGCGACGTCAGAAATTTTCCGGTACTAACTCGATAAGCGTAAACCCCTCCATCGTCTATTCATGTCCATCCCTCAAACTTTATCACCGCATCACGACGGCTATCACTCACCTCCGAAAGGCAACGTTACAAATTTCCGCCAACTAGGGACTATAGGATACGACGAATTACTGCCTCGTTACGTCTCATCAGATTGCATTCCGTCGCTTCCGCCCCCTTGCGAACGCAATAAATTAATTTCTTCCCTTATCTCCCTCGCCGCCTGGTAATTACAATTTCGCCGGTAACGTCGTTAGAAAATTATCGTGGAGAAATTTTCTGTTTCATAGCCGCCCCACGACGACGCACCTAGCCTTTGTACCGGGTGTAAAAGCGTTCCCCTCGCGCGCGGGATGGGGCGCAGACCGCGAGAGATACCGCCATTTCCCTCCCCAGACACCAGTATCGCCGACACCGGTGGTAATTGACACCGTTTTCACGGCTAAACCGCTTTCCAATTTTCCCCTTATTTTCACGATGTAATAACTTATCGAGCCTGGCGTAAGTTTAGCCAAGGGACGGGTCAAGGGGGTGAAAAGGCTGTTGACAGTTATCGGTATACACAGTCTTCTTTAGAAGCCGCCGCCGAGATAAGCTCTCATTGGCGACCGAAGCGTTAATCACTATGGCTTCCTGAAATAGCGCGTCAACCCCTTGCACCGCCGGCGTGCTGAGAGTCCTTGCCGGAGGAGCTTCGATCACTCGTCAGCAGTAGTGGAATAGCTGCGGTAAGAATTTACGGTCGACGTTGCGGCGAACTTGACCCAACGGAATTAAAATCGCAACAGATAGTCGCTATTAAAATTAAAAAGGCTTTTGAGCGCGCGGTCAAATTGCGAAAACCACTACGCTCGGAATAACCTATATGGTACCTCTGTTGTAGGTATTAATTAATAAATCGTTTTTAATCGTTTTAAAATTTATTTTGGTGCTATGTATAATTGAAATACAAAAACGGATTTAGTTTTATAAAAATGACGTGTTTCGTGTAGCCAGAATGAAACTGTGAACTCGCACAATTCGAAACGATCGATTCGCTTTCCCTCGCGAATTTTCGGTCTCCATTTTCCCGCAGCATCGGGACATCATAAATCTCATGAGAAAGCACTCTCGCGAGTGTTCTCTACAAGCGAGTGACGCGAGCGATGATGATCGAAATGCAGATCAGAAAAAATTGACGCCGCTATACGGAATAAAGGCGTCGGGGAGTCTCTCGCGGGACGCGACCCTCTCCCGCGTCCCGTGTCTCGGCGCGCGGCGTAGGGATTTCCATCTTCGCTTCATAAATCAAAATGTCATCGATTTCGGTATAGTGGTCCGTCCGTCTTCCTCTAATTCTCTCGTGAGCCACCGCTGTCGTGGGATCGTGTAAAAGTAAATAACGATCGAAAAACGGTCGGCGTGTTTTAAAGAGCTCGCGGTCTTAAAAAAGTTTCGAAGGGCCCTCTTCGCCTTCGTTTTTTCTTTCTTCTTTTACCTTGCCTCTCCCTTCGCCCCACAGCTTATTCCCGCGCTCGCGCGGCAACCTAGAAACTTTGGTAATTACGCGGAATTAAGCTCCTTAAAATTTATAACACGGCCGGCTTGACACATTGGCAATATAAGTAGCAGAATAGACGACCACGTGGAAGATGCGTGTAGAAAGATTTACTTTTTAAAATATTTTTTTTGTGTACGAATAATTTATATTGAATAACATGTATCTTGACCGTACCAGTAAATAAAACCATGCTATCATTGTCCGCATACATGAATATTTTTATGATGATTAAATTATACGAAACGTACACACACACAAACGTCCAAATAATAAATATAATTACAACATAATTAAATTTCCTTCAATGATTACGTTAACAGTAACAGTTTAACTTTAACTTAAAATCTCACGGGATTATTTTTAACCTGATCGTTCATATTATCGGCTTTCTCATAAAAAGTAATACAAGAGCGATTATAAATTTATTTTAATACATAGTACATTACCGTTGATGCAGTCCATAATGTTTAAGTACATCACAAAATAATGTGCGCTTCTCTCGTGAATTCAACATCGAGCGAAGTTATAATGCGGAAACAGTTTGCGACGAGCGAGTCGACGCGCACTGAAATTAATAATAACGCGCATGAGGGCATCCCGCGCCGTCTGTTGTATTAATTAATATGAAATTCTAGATCGGCAACTGTCACGCCGACAGCAGCGGAGCCGTTTTCTTGTATAATTAATAATGATCCTCGAAGTTACCGTAAATGTGGGCGTTTCGTTACGAACTCGGATAAACGCAGTCCGCATAGAATGCGAAATGTCGCTAATGGTATTAAACGGTAGGATAAGTTTAGACAGGAATTATTAAAATGTAGAAGAAGCGCATCTGGCGCACCGAATACATTAATCACTTTGCGCGTAACAATGTCTATCCTCTCTTCTGGATATTTTTATAAAAAATTCAAGTTTAGGAACTACCAAATCCGCTTTGATTGAAATAATAATGATATTTGAAGCATTTTTAGAAACATTTAAAATTTATAAAATATGACGTAATTTACTGAATGACATTTAATAATATCCTTCAAAAATATGATGAAATTTTGAATACAAGATATTACAAAATTTAATGGACTTGCTAATTAATCATTTATAAGATGATTAACGATTAGACGAATTTTGAAAGATTATTTAAATTGCAAATCAAAAATTTAATTTTTTAATATTTGAAAGATAATAGTAATAAATCATAATTCACGCATATCGAATGAAAGCTTGCATTGTGCCAGATTGAAACAGATAATACGCACCTCGAAGCGGCACGCATCCTAATAGCGAATATATTATTATGATTTCTAGTACATCATATTCTCTCTTCCTCTCTGTTTCTCTCTCTCTCTCTCTCTCTCTCTCTCTCTCGTTTGAGGCGAGTTTCCATATTTATACGTGCAGACGACCATATAATGAACGTACTGATAACGCGTTCGAAATACAATTTATCGGTGATAATTGACGAAACGGATTACATGCGCGAATCGCGGCTGCGATTACTATCGACATTTTTCCTCTTCCTGTATCATCGAGAATTCGATATTGGCCGTAACAAACGGTTCGATCTAATTAAACTTGCTCGCCGAAAGGAACACGATTCGTATCGTGTAAAGGTTTACAAATAAAAGTCCTCTACTCGATACTCGAGAACTACCTAATCGAAAATAGTTTTAGTCATTAAGTGTCGTGCCTGTTTTATTTAAATCAATTAATTTATTATTAGAATTTAAATATGTCATTTACCTTTTTTATTAAACTTATTTCGCAGAAAATTACTTCTAAACTGAATTTTGAATTACTTAAGAATAATAGCAAATGATTGTTCTCTTGTTAAAAATCAGTTTCTTACGGAGAATAAGTATTTATTACTATATCTCGTGCTTTGTAAAACACTACACAAATTGACAAAGAATTACTTGATAATGCACAAGTTAAGAACAATTTTAATTTTATGGTAGTTGACAAACAATAACGATTTTTTACTTATTTGTATATATGCAACAATCTTCGCTAGACTCTACATTTTTCACATTTTTAACATTGCGAATTAAAATCTAAATTTGAAGAAAAATATTAAACTGAAAGTGATATAAAAATTATATATATTAAGCTTTTTTACTTTGTTTGATAACAGAAGTTCGTTATTTATAATGAATTCTGTGCAGAGCATAGCATCCAAAAAAATTAGACGTTATTGATCAATCAAATGATTTATTCTCGTTATTCTAATTGAAGAGTTTTTCCTATGTTTTAATAAAAAAAAAAGATGAACTCTTCATTGCAATTCTTTATCTGTCTGTTAAAGTAGCGAATGTTTGAACGATTTATAATGCTGCCGGAAATATTTGCTAAGCAAACAGGCGAGAAAGTTATTACATAATTTCACGCGTTATTACAATATGCCGTGGCAAACTTCCCCAACGCAAACTTTTGCAATACATCCGGTAAAGCAAGCGGGTTCTTGTTTGCCTCGCGCGATGCTATCGGCCAGTAACGACGTCGACGGTGGCGTTAAGTCATGCGTGCGGGCTGACTTACTCAGGGTCAATAGGGCGTCGCGAGTTGTGGCATTTGGTATCGGCCTGGGTCAAGAAACGAGATCGAGTGGCCCAAACACGTTATGGGGCCTGAGACTCGGTTTTAGGGGTAAATACGTCGAGGTCCACTTGGCTAATATTGAATAATTCATCAGGGTCCGACCGAGCGTCTATATGCCATCAGTGCATTGTGCCAATAGCCGTTGCACCGTTCATCACGGGCTATTGATTGGGGTGGCGGTTTTCCGTTCTCTCTGTGCCCAACAACGTTTGTGTCATCCACACATCAGAAATGAATACGCTTCGCTAAGTGTGATACGTATTACAGAGGGGTCCCTAAGGGGGATCGATTTCTTTTTTAGATTCACGCTTTCTTACGTCGCCTTAATAGAAATCTAA